ATTCTTTCACAAGGACCTCTACTGTTGCTACCTGAAATCTACCAACTCAACCTGTAACTCACTTGGTGAGCATTGCTCTCCTTTTCTTGTGTTCGATCTTTGTATTAATAATTATAGTATAATCCACTTCACATAGGATGGGTACTGTGACATTTCGAGTTTTTACGTTACATGCATACTATTTTTAAGTACACTCACAATCAAGTTACAAAAAGAAATAGTAAATTTGTTATAATGTGTGGACTTCTTCCAAACACTCCAATAAAACGCCGTATTAACCAAACTGATTTATTAAATTATCTATTCCTCCAACAATTTATACTAGAACTTTAAAATATCCTCAACAAAATTTGTAACCACAAAATACCGTTATAATTCCTGACCAATCTAACTTTAACATTTGATGAGATACGAATGCATAAATTTTTCTTTCACCTCAAGACATTGCCTCGTAAATCCCTTCTTTTTCAATTCCCGCCATTTTTCGCAAGTAGGGAACTTTAAAAGCAATGTCATTGGCTAGTCGAACCGGTAGATAAAGTGTTCGGACCAATCACAATCAACACCGACACGCCATCTACACGGTAACATTTCGGAAACCTAATAATATCAATTAACAAACTTCTTAAATTAATATATGGAATAAGCTTATTTACCCTTATAATATTTAAATAAATGATAATGAAAATAATTTTTCTATTTTACGATTTTATATTTCTTACAAATGTATCAAAAACAAACAATATTAATACAAATTGTAAATTTAAATAACAATTAGTATAAAGTAGATAGAAACTGAAATGTTAAAGATAAAAATAAATAACCTCATCTACTTGATGCGTAAAATGGATTATTTATCCTTATAGATTTACAACAGAGAATCGATCAGATAAATCGAATATTGTGTATCTCGCGTCAATAGGTGTGCATACACCTTTTCTTTTGTTTTGAGCTTTGTGTTATGTTTTTGGAGTAATTGTTCAAATTTCATTTCGTTGCTATTGATTTCATGCTTTTTTGTTGACTTTTTGTTTGGTTGTTGTTGATTCTTTTCATCTGTTGTGTAGTTTTTTAGTAAATTAATAACATAATAGTTAAAGCCTTTTTGTTTATTATTTGCTCTTAACTACATTCGTATTTAGGAAATGAAACTACTTTTCCGGATTTCAATCGCGTATATTTGTTTTTTCAAACAAACCGACGTTTCGGGCCCTTTACAGGTCCCATGGTCACGGTTGACTGAGGTGTTACAGTCTTCAACCAGTTATGTCTAATATTGATGCAAATCACCCTATTTTTTCACTATAGTTACAATAGTTATTAATTAAATACCTTATTTTTAATTTTACAAAGAAAAAATTCCAATTTACGCTACATTAAGTTTTACAAATTATTTTATTGAATGAATTTTTATTAAGTTCAATTTATTAATAATTAATAATAGAAATTAGAGTAAACTAAAAATATTAATTAGTACTGCAGTCTTATGTCTGTTTGGGATTTTTTATTAGAGGAAATACTGGATCCCAAACTGGTGGTACGGAGAAACCATCTTCCCTGTTGAAATTAGGATGTTTTTTAATTTCAATGGCCTCTCGCAGCATCCTGGGTAGATAACGGACTTCTTTTGCAAGGACCTGGGGTTTGTCAAACTTCATTCAATGTGTAGCTTTATCCATGACAAGCTCGCAGACTACAGACTTGTTTACGCGCCGTGTTTGACATCAGCTATATGTTCTTTGACGCGGGTACAAATACTTCGCTTTGTTTGTCCAATATAAGAGAGACCGCACTCACAGTCAAGCTTGTAAACTCCTGCATCCTGTAAGGAGATGTTACATTTCACGGCTCTGAGGAACTTAGAAATCTTCCTCAGGGGCTGGAAATAGGTCTTAATAGATGCACGCCGGAGGACTCTTCCGATCTTGTCTGTAACACCTCTCACGTAAGGTAAGATAGCAGGTCTTCGCTCGACTGTTGGTGGTTTCACACGGGGCCTGCGGCATTGGCGTGGAATCTTCAACTTATTTGTATGTAGGACTTGCTTTATATGCTGCAGTTCCCCTGCCAGATGATTACTGTCGCAGACACCATGTGCTTTCTGAAACAAAGATTTGCCCACGGTAGCTAACTGGCTAGGATGGTGATGGGAATTGCCATTGAGATACCTATCTGTATGGGTTTTCTTTCGAAATACAGTATGGCCTAAGGTGTTATTAGGATTTCTTTTAATTAAAACATCTAAGAAAGCTAAAGTACCACAATTCTCTTGTTCCATAGTAAGTTGGAATATGAACCACCAGTTTGGGATCCAGTATTTCCTCTAATGAAAAATCCCAAACAGACATAAGACTGCAGTACTAATTAATGCTAATTAATATGTTTTAGTTTATTCTAATTTCTACTATTAATTAATAATAAATTGAACTTAATAAAAATTCATTCAATAAAATAATTTGTAAAACTTAATGTAGCGTATATTGGAATGTTTTCTTTGTAAAATTAAAAATAAGGCATTTAATTATTAACTATTGTAACTATAGTGAAAAATAGGGTGGTTTGCATCAATATTAGACATAACTGGTTGAAGAATGTACCACCTCAGTTAACCGTGACCATGGGACCTGTAAAGGGCCCGAAACGTCGGTTTGTTTGAAAAAACAAATATACGCGATTTAAATCCGGAAAAATAGTTTCATTTCCTATGTGTAACAATTGCGAAAACCTGAGAACTCGATATAAGTTCGCATTCTTAAATAGCTTAGTTACAAACTATCAGGATAAGATATTTAAATAGTTTTTCATTCGATTTTACATCACTACATCTCTAGGAACTAGCTGCCATAATAGAACACTCATTTTGGTAATAAATGTCATTTGCTTGACGCAGCGCTGTAACTTGCCATGATGATATTTGTCTTTGACTGAAAAAAAAAACATTTGACAAAAGCAGCCCCAACATCATGGCCGCTAGGAACTGTCAAAATCTACCTGCCCTTAATGGAAAACTCTTTGCTTACCCAATTTAAGGCAATAAATTAATTGAAATTGCCAGGTTTCCCCTCCACGTTCATTCTACAAATTATACTCCGAAAAATTTAGCTTGATTACAATGACACCTATCAAACTTTATGAACCAATGATGTGACACGATCTGTGAAATCAAGAATCATATCGACTGACTGTTTTATAACATCATAGTAATAATTGACGTCATCTCATAAATTTCATAAACAGGGCCCGCCCTACGAATTATGGCGAAAAGATATGGCGCAATTAATTAGTTGGTCATTTTGTTTTGTTTGTTAAAGTTTCATTTCCGTAGAGTTAACCGACTTTATCCAAATAATAGTAATGGTAAACATTGTATAAAAATCATCAAAATACAGAATATCTCCGTCCGAAAATAACTCAATATAACTCAAAACACGTAACATTCTACAATTGTAATAAAAAATATCAAATCAAATTTGTCAAATTTTTTGAAAAACTTGAAATCGATCATTGAATACACTCCACTGCTCACTCGTAAAGCAGATTACCTTGAGAGGAGTGAGCAAGAAACTTTAGGGGTTGCTCTTTGTAATTAATTAAATAAAAAACAAGTGTGAATTACCATTTTGTAAGTAAAATCTTTGTAAATAAAAAAATCAACTGTATTTTATAAATGTGTCCCAACACAAACTTTCTTCCGTCAGACGTAACTTCATCATTGATAAATTATTAAATATTAATGGGATTTTTTAGTGAACTAACTCCAACAGTTGATGTATCAATGGTTTGTGGATTACAACTATCGTATGTTAATCGGTGGTAACGTAAATTTGCCAAGTAATTATTCTTCTGTGTTGTTTAAAAAAACAAAATTTGTTGGACGTTGTTACAAACTTACGTTGTCGTAATTTTGCCAATCTGACATTTTAATCAAGCTAAATTTTACAGAGTGCAGTGTTGTTATACCACACATATATTCCACGCGTATTCCACAGAATTTAAGTTTATTTGAAAAGAGCAATCCCCAGAGTTTCTTGCTCATTCTTCACAGGGAAGTCAGCACAGTAAATGAGCAGTAGCTTAAAAAATGACGTTTTCAAGTGTCAATTTATTTTGCCTACGGAAGAAATTATGTATATGACTTGATGTGATAAGTCCATCCTTTTCATAGGACCAAGCCATTCAATGGTATTGCCTTTGTAACTATGTACATAAACTTTTACAACGCAATGCTTTGGGTTACCCTGTTCCTCATTTTATCTAAAGTCGAACTACTGAAAATCAATGACCATTATGTATTCTTGTGCTCTTCGCTGCCTCTAAAACGGTAGCGTGCATGGCTCACCTCCTCGGTTTATAAAGAATTCTTGGAACTAAATTGGTTCTAAGGAAGCTCTTAAGGAAAATGTGTCAGCTATTTAGAGCACTCCCGCTGGTTTACCAGTTTGCTTGTAGATAGTTTATTTTTTACTTTGCTCTTTATCGTTTATTATTTGTCGTTGTTGTTTTGTTGAAACTTCGAAATTGTTTGAAATATTCTTACTATATAAGTAATTGCTAATTATGTCTGAGAATATTTTTATTAATTTCTTATTTCTAGGTAGGTATATTTAACGTCATTTTAACTCAGACATTTCACATTATAGATAATGCTGTTGAGAATATAATTAAAATAACAACTTAATGAGTTTCGTTCTTTTGTTTGCCTTATTGTTATTTTGTTTATTTTCATCACACCGATTTCTTTACACTATGTGCATGTTTCTTCATTCGTTACGCTGTAGGAATGTGTTAATATTTTTCCAATTGATAGAGTACACAGTACGTCAAACTGCCATTTCGGACTTTGGTTTTTATTCATCGGCATCAGAGCCCAAATTTTTTAATGCAAACGGCATATATTTGAATTTCAATCTCAATTGCGGGTATCAGAGCAATAGTAGTGTAACCCACATTTAAAAATCTTTTTTTATCACTTAATGTAATATGTAGAAAAAAAATGTAGGTTACACCACTTTTACCGTGATAGCCTCAATTGTTAAGTGCACTGCCTCCGAAACAAGATCATCGATCTGTCCCATTTTTTCACTTTCTATCTGCTCAGTGCAATCTTATCTAACTTATGTGTTGCGAGATCGCAGGCGTTTAAGCTGGGCATGTTCGGGGCGGAGTACGCATGGCTGGTGGCGGGCGCGCCGCCGCGCATCAGAGGCAGCGCACCGTGTGCGCGAGCGCAACTCGCGAGGGCGCTGGAAGGGCTTGTCACGGTCACTGCTCATCGGGGTATTGTGGGCGACGCGCCTTCTTATTCTGGACTGGTAAGTTACTTATAACCATTAGGGACACTTATATTGTAATCCAAAAGATGTGACGTTGTATTGGCAATAGCTGCGTCAATGCAACTTCAGAGTTATGGTAAGTTATTCTTCATCCAGCACCTGAAAAGACTCTAGTATTTGTCACTCTGATCTTTGCACATCTTTTTTTATATAAAATATAAGTGCGCATTTGACCTCCGTCTTACCTGGTGGAAAGTGACGAAGAGGTCGACGATGAAGCACCTAAATAATGCTTACTCACTCTAATTTTCAAAAGGCTCAAGTTACAGCGTTCAAAGAATAAGTCTGCAGGAATTCCACTCCATAGCAGACATCCGCAAAATAGTACCTCGAAAAGTAATGTAGGTAATATCACATTACATTCCCGTAAAAGTAATATTACACTGTGATACCACTATTACCCAAACATCACACAGATTAAAAATGAGATGCGTTATATGCGTTACCTTGGCATTACCCATCACTCCAGTGTTGCCAGTGCCCTTGTCTCGAAAATTACGTTTCGTTACCTGAAAAGTTGCATTTTGTAAATTGGTTAATTTCATTTTATTTGCGTCTTCTCTTAGTTACTTTAATGTCTAATTTGGGTGCGTTCGTAAACTATTTGGCATTTACAATAACAAATAAACTCAAAAGTTATGAAAATTAACTTAAAACAGAAGCTAATTTCTATTACGCAGAAGGGTCAAAAATTACGAGAAATGTTAGAAATATAACCATTTAGCAATACTGTATCATTTCGTGCTTGCTTTGCTATTACCATCATATTACATTACAATGGGATATTACCTTTACTTGCATCACTTAGACTAAAAATGATATTTTTTTTATAACACACAAACTCATAGCCCCGCATTAAGGAAACCTTGTATCGCGGATATATGTTATAAACACCACTTCGTAATATTACCATCACTTGCATCACACAGATTAAAAATGAGATGTGGTTTATAATATCACGGAGTGAAGTTTACATCACTCCGTGATATTACACTCACGTTGCATTACAGTGATATTACCATCACTCACATTACAATGCTTCGTGCTTGTTTTGAGTAATATTACCATGACTCCTACAGAGATAGACATTACGCAGTATAAAGGGACTATTACAATTGTTAAATAGCGCAAACACAACAATATGGATTATAATTATTATTTTTTTATATAAATTGATTATAAATATTAAAAGGATTTATGTAACCTTTATATTGTAACTGGAATAAATAATATAATGCAACATTAATTATTAAAAAATGTATTGTATTCGACATTGTGTCGTGTGATGTTATTAGTGATGCTTCGTTTTCCAGTGCCACGTGATTTCATATTATCCTATCACGTGATATCACATTTGTAATATTATTCGCATTAGGTACTTACACATCTCTACTCCATAGCCGTTCGCCTTATAAATATGGAAGCGTAACGCTTCGTGAAAATCCTTGGAATATCCACAACATAGGAGTGGAACCCAAGCCCACGTCCAGTCCCTTGGTGATGGAAAGGGGAAAGCGTTTCCTCTCAATTCCGAAGAATAAAAATTCTACATTAGTTTCTATTAAACTATTAAACAAATCAATTCTAGCAGATAGTGAAAATATTTTTCCGGATTTAAATCGCGTATATTTGTTTTTTCAAACAAACCGACGTTTCGGGCCCTTTACAGGTCCCATGGTCACGGTTGACTGAATTTTAGACATAAGTGTGTTATGTCTAAAATTAATTCAAACGGCATAAAAGAGAAATTTAACAACCTAACTCTACAACACGATTGATCAGCTGTCTTCGTCACCAAATCAGAACCAAAGAAGCAATGTCGAAACAAAAAGTTCACGTTTGTCACAAATTGCCACTCACCAACTCCCGGCCAATTACTCGAACTTCCCCGTGACTTTTTTGCCGAAAAACAGAATTATTTGTGACCCATTGAAAGGCAATCGTTGACAGAAGTTTTTACATTTACTTTGATGACTTTCCGATTTGTCACCGTTTTCGTAGACTTTTGCTCGACGAGAACTAAGGGTCGTATTCTAGAACTCTACTCAATGCTCAAGTCAGGATTTGTGTATGGTTTAAAGCACTCGAAATCATACTCAAGTCCCTGCCATTAGGGTCGTATTTCCAGTGCTTGTGTTTCCAGTGCAATCCTGACTTGAGGATTGAGTAGAGTTCTAGAATACGACCCTAAGACTGGCTAGCGAAAAGCATTTCATTCCGTGTAAAGTACTACGTGGAGCTACTACCTACTATCTGCCTTCGTGGCCGAACGGTTACCAGGTTGCTCTGCCACGCATAGGTTTCGGGTTCGATGCCCGAGCCGGGGGAAATATATTTTTTAATAATACCAAGTGACGGGAGGAACAAATTATGCACCTAGTGGTGAGCGACACACTGCCCCTGCGCCCGTCACCCTTAGACGTAGTGCCTGTAATTTCACCAGCACCCTCACCCTTCAAAGCCGGCGGCAGAAATAGGTAGGTGACAGTACTACCCTGGACAAACTGTTTCACAAGGACCTCTACTGCTACTAAAATCGAAAAAATAAAAACTGGTTTATTAAATACGAGTGAGTATCCGTTAATTACATAATAATAAATTGTTTAATAATAAATTGTGACCATGGGACCTGTAAAGGACTCGAAACGTCGGTTTGTTTGAAAAAACAAATATACGCGATTTAAATCCGGAAAAATAGTTTAGTTTCATTTGTAGTGTAACAATCGCGAAAACCTAAGAACTCGATAAATAAATTGTTTATTGAATAACTTATTGTACAAAGGAATACTAAAGACTAATTATGCGTAACCTGAACTAGGAGAATCCGGTATTTCAGGTAAAAAGTACTAATTATATATATGTATATAATATATATTAAATTATAAACAAAAAAATAATAACTAAACAATAAAATGCAAATCATATACTAATACGCGTAAATTAGACAACATGTATTTATTGATTAATATGCCATTGGACTGCTCGTATTTTTCAAATTGGATGCACCATGACGATTTTAAATAGCAAAACGTTGAAAAAGCGGTGAGAAAAACAATAAATGCAAGAACTAACAATTTTACCATAATCTTTTGAATAGTGAGAATTTTTTATAGAAATCCATGTTAATGAAAATGAAAGTAAATTAATTTGCTACTCCGCGAACCCGGTGAAAGTTAAATCGTGTGAAGTCGCTGCGCTTGTTTTAAATAAATTTTCATCCATTTAATTTTTCAATCCTTCCTCCGCATAAAATTAATAAAATAAATAACACAAACTCAATTACAGTCACAGACACCACCACCAAAAATACACCCGTCACGTGTTCCGCCTCTCTACGAGACATCCTCAGTGGTTGTAGCGATGTACGACACTCGGTAGAGTGTGACTTATGCCACTTTTGCTCCCAGCGCCTCATTTATCAATAATTTATGTGGTCTGTGATACAAATAATTTAAAGTTCTATAATGGCAAAGTATGCGCAAAAAAGTACCTACTTATTTGCTCTAGTGCGAAAACATCGTAACTTTTAAGCCTTTGTTTACGTGCTGAAAGTGACAACTCTGCAATGACCTAATTTACGCCGTAATAAAACAATGTGCCGTCAAAAGCACAAACTTGAAACTTTGGACTTTAGGACCGTCCTTATTGGCAGCAGCATAAAATTGAATTTATATATTTAATGACGAACTTGACGTTCTTTACACTCTGTACGATAAAATTTACGAAAAGCAATATTTGTCGAACTCTCATGTTAACGTAGGTTCATTGAATGATAGTTTCGACACGACTATTTCTTGCCTCCTAGCATTACACGGTAACGGTAATGTTTTTTTTTTTATTAAATTGATATTCAATTATTTTTTTGTGAAATTACTCCATTAGTTTGCTGCTACTGTTCGTTGAAAAAACAAATACAAAGACACGACGCAAGCACATAGAAAAATTCGTGAGGTCCGTTGGTTCTTTCCATGGCTTAGTTGGTATAGCGTCTGGCACGGTATGCAAGAAGACGTTGGTTCGAATCCGACCGGATCGAAGGAATTATTTCTGAGTGTTCGATCTTTGTATTAATAAATAATTGTATTTTTTATACTAATTAAATTAACGAATAACTTACGTTTGAAGTCAAATATTTGCGGGACCTGTTTCGAACAGGTCCGTGGCCCTGAACGATGAGCTTCAGCGGCGATCATTCGACGAAAAATAAGTCATCCTTTTTTTAATTTAATTTTTGTTTGTGGTTTATGAAAACACTACCAACTTTTAATTATTATTTTTTAAATTGGTAGTGTAAGTGTACCTGATGGTAAGCGACACGTCTGTCCATAACAGCTGCAGTGCCACTCAAAGCTTTAAATCACAAAAACCTGAAACTGCCACTGCGCCCTTCACCCTGAGACATAAGTTGACAAGTCTCATGTGCCTCATTTTTCACCAAAAATTTTTCTCTGGCTGTTTGAAAAACAATCTCAGGACGCAGCTTTACGAAATAGCTTAAGTTTTTACATCTGTTCTGTGTATTTGTTTATTTCTGATATTATGCAATTTAATTTATTTATTTATTTTTTTGTACCGTGTAACATTTCGAATTGTGGTGTTCCAGTTTATGACGAGCCGTGGCAGAATAACTGCGAAGGCTAATGTAATTAGCATAGTCCTCTGATGTTGAGTTATGGACCCTTTTGACATGCCTTTTTTATTTTAACTTTTGTTTCTATTATATTTTTTTCTTTGAAACTTATGTATTTTGTATGTCAAATAAAGCCAATTATATAATTTTATTTTTTTACATGATGGATCAAGGACATGATTTACCCCATAACCTGTCACGCTGGCCCAATTAGTTAGTAGATTGGGACTTATTACATTTCCAAGGACAGTGAACCGTCTCTGACAAGGAGATTTCATAACATTTTGCTTCGCCATTAACAAATGGCATTGCTACTAAAAATTCACAAATGTAAATAACCTTAGAATAA